ACGCTGCCCGTAGATGCCCTTTGTAGACGTCGTCATTTACTCTTTCCACTATCTACTTGATCCAAAAGTCGCAGAACAAGTCTCCAAGGAACTCTCAAAAGATGCCATTGTCGTTTTTGACGAAGCGCACAACATTGGTAAGGTTAATTTTCTTTTTTACCTCGGCTTTTCTAACCATTTCACTATCACTTAGATAACGTTTGCATAGAGTCTCTGAGTATCGATCTCACGCGCCCAATGCTGGATTCTGCAGCACGGAGTGTCACGAAGCTAGGTGAGAAAATCGAAGAGTGAGTTCATGTTTTGTAACAGAGATTTCTGTGAACCGTAAAGTACAGGATAAAGACAACAGATGCTGCTAAGCTCCAAGACGAATATGCGAAGTTGGTTGAGGGTTTAGAAGAACCGGCTTCAGAAGCTGCGGATGAAGATAACTTCATGTCCAATCCTGGTTCAGTTGGTTCTCCTGGTCGTATTCATGTTACTGACACGCCTTTCCAGTGTTACCCGATGACCTTCTCAACGAGGCTATACCTGGAAATATTAGGAAAGCTGAACACTTTGTAGCGTTTCTGAAACGCTTCGTTGAATATCTGAAGGTCTGTCCAATTTTTTTCTTCTTCTTGACAGAAATATGCTGACAAGGATTTAGACTCGAATGCGAGTTCTTCATGTTGTGGCAGAAACGCCTTTGTCATTCCTACAACATCTGAAAGATATCACATACATCGAGCGGCGGCCACTTCGGTAAGTACCATGTGAAGAAATGCATTTCATCCAGACATTCGACCGTTCGTTAGGTTTTGTGCCGAACGGTTACAATCGATGATCCGTACATTAGAATTGAACCGCCTAGATGAATACTCATCGCTTCAAAAAGTTGCCAGCTTCGCGACCCTTGTGGCAACCTACGAGAAAGGTAGGAATTCCAAGTGGAAAGTCCATACTCAGCTAACAGTCATGATGTCAGGTTTTCTGCTAATCCTTGAACCATTCGAAACGGATAATGCCACGGTTCCAAATCCCATCTTTCACTTCACGTGAGCTTTTTGCCAAGTCGAAGGTGATGATTCTTTGACTAATACGTTGACAGATGTCTCGATCCATCGCTGGCTATCAAGCCCGTTTTTGAGCGGTTTAGTAGCGTGGTCATAACTTCCGGGACAATATCACCCCTGGACATGTACCCTAAAATGCTGCAATTCACACCGGTTGTGCAAGAGACTTATCCCATGACCCTTACACGCAATGCCTTTTTACCCTTGGTAGGCTTACCGAGGCCCGTTCATTTAATAGATACTGACTAGTTTAGGTCATAACTCGGGGAAGTGATCAAGTTGCCATCAGTTCTCGTTCGAAGTCAGAAA